CTCCACTGCAGTGTGTGGCACTGGGTCTCACTTTCTCCTGCAGGAGCCTGAGGGGCCAGGGAGCAAAGCTCCATGTCACAAATCCTCCCAGACACCATGCTGCCATGCCCCTTCCCTGTGTTCACTTGGTCAGACACTAAAGTGGCAAGAGATGGTGCACATTGACCCCTAGAAACAGAGCGTCATGCTCCCGCCTGCTTCAGGCCCATCACAAGGCAGTCCAGGTCTTCCCAGGCAGACACTGATGGTCAGGCCTGCTGTACAGTCGCACCCCGTGGTTTAAGATCATCACAGCACTCGCCTAACCAATGGCATCCCTGCTCTGACCCTCCTCTAATATTTAAAGTAACTGAGGTGAGGTTGAGTGTGGCCTGAAGAACCAGCCCTTCGTGGGGTTCTAACAGGAGGGATCTGACTCTGGGGCGTGTAGAATCTTTTCACAAACTGCTGGGCCACCCCCTTGGCTCAGAACTGGAAACCATGATGGTAAGTGACACCATAATAGCCTGGAGCTCCACTCCCAGCTGACTCCCTCACCCCTATTTGTATCTGAGCAGTAAAAGACCCCATCCTGGAGAGCTCAGAGCCAGTCCTGCTTGTTGTCTTGTTAGAAGAGGAGAGTGACCCAGCAGGGTTCCTTGAGCAGCCAGAAAATTCTAGAAGATACAGGAAGGAAAGGCTTCTGGTTCATAGGCTCACCAGGTCTTAGCAGCATAGCAGAGTGGAAAGAGCTTGGACTTCACACTCCTGGGTGTGATCCTGGATAAGTTATTCATCTTGCCTCAGTTTCCCCATCTCTAAGCTGTAGGGCTGCAGTAATAGCCACTAACCTTTATTGATACTTACTATGGGCCAGGCACTGCCAGGCCCATCATGAGTGTTCTCGCATCTGATTCTCACAGTACCCTGTAAGGTAGGCACTATTAATATTTCCATTTACAGAAGACAAGTTTAAGCACAGAAGACCAAAGTAACGTGTTCTTGGGGCCAGGAGGTGACATGGTGGTTTTTGCTATAGGATACATGCTCTTGCTAGAAAGACAGAGA